ACACGGGGCATGAACTAGGATAGTAACGGTAGTTCGAACTAGGAAGCCTAGTTCGAACTACCTAGTTCGTGCCCCGTGTAGCCACGCGGCACAGGGTTCAAACGAGCGGGGTTTTAAAAATGGCGGAGCCCTGCTTATGCAAATGAAGCCCGGGAAATTCAAATCCCGGGCTTCATTTGCAAGTGCGGTATGCCTACATTACCCCGCTAGTTCGAACTGGCGGGGGAGTGTAGACATACCCAAAGAGATTTCTGACATAAAGAATCCAAGGGTGCTCCTAGAATCCTGTGACTACAAAAGTGATGATGTTCACAGAAAGGATTCCTCATTTGTAAAACTGGATGAAATTCTGTCCTGCATATTTACTTATTTCATTCAAGAAAGGTTTTTCATTGTTTTCTATTTTTTTCTGTACTGGTATTTGTTTTATAAAACTAAACTGAACAGAATTTTTAAAATCATTGACTTATTTCTACAGCAAAAGAAAAACTCAAATCCACACTGATGTGAATGGAGCACATCCAAATAAATAACAGTAACAATAATAATCCATCTATATAATAGTCGAGTATTAAGTTTTGGCTAAATGTACATAGAAAATTCTTTAAATTTTTTTTGTATTTTAGCATTTTATTCCCTATTATTTAACCCTTCCAACAGATATAACAGAGAAACGCTCCATGGCGATTACTTTTTTCACCCTCTCTAGCAAGCAGTTTCACTCCCTCTCCCCCATGATTTAAACAACCACCTCTTTACATTATCATTCAAAAACTGCATGGATTTCAAACCATCATTACTGACTCATGTCATTACCTCCATGGGAATAATGTTCATGTGTTAGATGCTGCTGCCCAGCCAGAGAAACATGAAATGTGTTTGCAAACCCTACTAAAATAGTAATAAGGACTTTTCTGTGTTTGCCTGACAGATCAGTAATAACAAATTTTTTTGTAAAGGCTATTTAGAATTTGATAGACATGTCCCACTAGCTTATGACAAATTTAACACCACATTTAGGCCTAAAACCTGGCCCAGATCTACTACAACAGTTTACACTAGCTGAGAATCAGCCCTTAAAGTATTAGCCAAATTTATCCAGGGTGTAAATTCTTTTATCTGTATACACATGAGGATTAATCTGGCCGAGTCTATTTAGCTCTTATTTGTTCTATGACTTTACTTACACATATGCCAAGCACAAGAATTACCTCAGAGCAAACACATCAAAACGAGTTTTTACAACATTCAGGGAAACAAAACCAGTGATCTGGCATCAATGGTTGTTCAGAAAGGCTTTGTTTACACTGCAGGGTTTTTATGCAAGAAACTTTTTGCGGAAGAGATCTCCTGCAAAAACATCTTGTGCAAAAGCACGTCCACACTGCATGGACACTCTTGCACAAGAAAGTTCTGATAGCCATTCACAGAATGGCTATCAGAGCATCTGTGCTTTTTCTGATAGGCTCTTTTTGTGCAAGAAACCCCTATTGAGCGTCCACACACACCTTTTTGTGCTAGAGTTCGTGTAGAAAGAGGTATACCTATACCACAAAAAGCCCGCTGTTCTGTCGTTTGACTATACATTTTCTTGAGCAAAAACATGCTTGAGGTGTGGACGGTCTGTGGGTTTTTGCGCAAAAATGGCTAGTTTTGTGCAAAAACCCTGTAGTGTAGACATAATCAAACACTTCAGTGATTTTGTTCATGTGCAGAAGCTCAAACTCAAATACAAGTGATCACACAAACTAGAAAAGTTAATGTAATCCAACCAGAAGCAGAAACACGACCATGAGGCTTCTGTGACTAATCATATGGCTTAAATATAGTTATAATTAAAAGAGAGAAGTAGTTAAATATTCATAACAATTTATGAACAATCTATACACAGAAATTTGATGTAAAAACATTCACCAGAACAAGGATGAGTAGTGAACAAAAGTTAGCAGAGATCACATAAATTATTCAGCCAGCTCTGGCAGAACTAGCAGGTGTTTGTTTGACTCTTTTTTGGTTCAGCCTTATCAGGTGTGATTCATCATATGCAATGTACTGCTAGATAATGACAACCTTTTAAATCATTGCCCTCAAGGCCTTTGCATGTCCATGGCCCAATTCCATACCTTCCCTCTGTTTGATGGGTGACATGACTAGTCACTGACCACATGTCACTTCTTTTTTTTTCCCCAATATACTTGCTCCTTTCTGTTGCTAAGGTGATCTTTTAACAACTGAGATTATTTCAAGCTACAGGACTCTTTCACCTAGAAGAGGAGCGTTACATTGAGAAAAACCAGTCTATTCAGAAGATCGTGTGAGCATTCCAGGTTTCATATTCACAAAGAAAGATAATGAGCAAGGCAGAGAGAAAGAGGAAGAAAAGCTATTTTTGCTTCATTTTACCAATAGTTACATTCACGTTTATTAACTCATTCCTACATCAGACTTATGAACACATCTGCAAACTTCCCAGGATGGGAATAGCAGAAGCAGCTGTATTTGAGAATCAAGGTGTTTTGTGCAAGTACCCAGAGTTGGAATACTAAGGGACTCTGCAAGTCAGGAGTCAAAAATGCTAGTAGGAAGCTTGGATGAAGCATAGAAGTTGCATGGCAAACTGTAGCATTGCCAGACATTTGTATAAACTTAAAGATTCATCCAAAATTTTTAAAAACTGACAGCCATAAACTTGAAAGATGAGGGTGAACAAACAGGACCGTGTCATTTTTCTTCATCATGTTCATCTTCTGTTCTTGAAAGAGGCTGAACTGCAAGCAGACTTTTTCAAACAAAATAACCACCCCCACATCATTTCACAGGCAGGATTTTTGGCATTTTGTGGAATATAATTTTCTGTTCTCCCTCTGCTGAGTTGGGTGCCTTAGGGCGGGTGAGTGTTATGAGGAGCAGAACTGCTCATAGGATTTGAACTATGCATAATTAATCATTATTACACAGCATGTAGGTGCTGTCACTATGCACAGAATATAAGATGGCAAAGAAAAGGATACAGCAGAACTTCTTAGGCTAACACTTTCCAGCAGGGATTTGTTATTCCTTATATTTATGTATTCCCATCAACACACCAGAACACTTTCATCTTTCAAATATCCGTGTGTATTCAAAACAGGTAAGTTACTAATTGCAATGGATCATTTACACGAATCTCACCAGTAAATGCATTTGCTAGCATATTCACAGAAGGCAAATACAAAATAGGGGGAAGAACACAAGTCTTCCAACAGCAGTTGTGAAAGCAAACAGTCTAATCAGTTTTAAGATGGAGATTGATACATTTATGCATATAGTAGTTCATGACAATCAAATCAGGAACAATCAAAGCTGGTGATAAATTAAAGAGGCTAAACAGTGGAGTGGTGAAAGGATTAGAAAACATGCCTTACCAGCACCAGACACAAGGAGCTGAATCTATTTAGTTTAACAAAGAGAAGTTTAATTGAAGCGAGAAAGACTCAGAGCTTTAGCATTTCTTCTACAGATAGCTCGGGCTCAAGCAACTTGAGCCTTATCCCATCCATCAAAAACTCTAACCCTTCTCATGCACTTGCGCAACAAACAGTCATTGACCATTCCTTTGCTCTGCAGAAGGGAAACACTTGTTCTACTCATATGGCTGAGCTGACCTATCCTTACCTTCATTTAGCAGCCCCTCTAATATTCCACATAGCTCATTCAATCAATATCTAAGCCCCGTGTTGACAAAAGGAAAGCCATTTGCACCCACATGTGACTAGCATTTCCTCCCAAGAGGGCTGGTGTCCTCATACAACACACAGCTGTTACGTAAAATGAGATACTTTACATGGGGCTATTCTTGATTGCCCTGTTCCAGGTTATTACAGTTATATAGCACAATGGTCTTTCACATAAAGCAATTAGCATATAGTGGTAAAGCACTGTGTGCCCGTCATCCAGTTTACACAAGTCTGTTAGTAAATTTTCCAGGGTCTCAGTGAGTTTATAGTTATACAGAGGTCCCCTGGAGCTGGACATATGAATTTAAGAGATTTATGCACATTCACTGCTTTCAGCTAAAGCAAGGATGGGGAACCCCAGGTCTGGTTTTAAGGATTTGGCCCCTTAGACTTAAGTCTTCCCCTCAACATTGAGGAGCCTGCATTGGTGCTCCATTCCCCTCCTCCCTCTCTTCCTTGTGGGGCTGGAACACACAAAATCTAGCCTGGCCCCTTCTCTCCCCCCCAAGGTCTGGTGTGTGAGGGGAATGTGGGGAGTGTCTTTCTCCCTTTCAGTTGGGGGGCCACATCAGTGAGGGTTTGTTTTTGTTTGTTTTACTTCTCACTTGTGTGTGGCCCCTGACTGATTTTTCTGTGGGTCAATGGTCCCAACCCTAAAAAGGTTCCATGCCACTTGGCTGAAGGCGCTCGTATGAGAAACTAAAATAATATCATGTCCAGTAAGGATCTTAAAAATGTTGGGTCTGGTATTAGCAACAGAAAAGGAATGGGAAGCAGGATTTGAATTCAACAGTTATTAGAGGAGAATATGGTTAGCCCGGGGTGGGCAATAATGTTTGAAGGGGGGCCCAGCAGGGCCTCAAGCAGAAGGGGCAGGGCCTCAGGTGGAAGGGACAGGACCTTAAATTAGCAGTTGAAAAGGCCTGCGCCTCCCCTGTGCTCCCAAGCATCATGATAGGAAGGGAGCGGGAGCTGCGAGTCCTTTCAATACCTGCTATTTAAAGCACTCGCTGCTCCCAGCCCCGCTGCTAGTGCGTTGCCTGGGAGCCGGGATGCGTAAGCCCTTTCGACTGCTTCTATGTAAAGGGCTTGTGCCTTCCCCATGGCTGCCATTGCCTGACAGGGGTGGCAATAGCCGTGAGTTACAGAGACAACTTTGCTTATGTTTTCTGTCCCAAAGCATGAGCTTGGGGTTGCCACCACAGAGAGTATGTATGCAAACACACTCAGCAATCAGTAAATAATGTTTAAAAATAAATAAATAAAAAAGAGAGGTTGACTTACCCCAGCCAATGCAGAGATAAAGCCGAAAAACCCTCTGTTCAGAAATGGCCGAGAGGACCAGCAGTGTGTGCAGGTACATGCCTTCCACCAATAGCCAATAGTAGTTTGCAGCCACACAATACTGCATCATCACAAAGACCAGGCGGCAACTGAGTGACTCCTGAGAGAGCACAACACACAGGTGAATGAATGCAGTAGGGGTGGTGAAAAAAAAAGACAAACCCCCAGAAGTTCTAACATCATGAATGGAAGAACAAGATTAAGTCCCCCTATTCAAAAATATCTTGTCTAAATGGCTCACACCCAACCACTGGGATGATAAAGGATCAGCCACTGTAGTTCAAAAACGCAGCAAGGGAATTCCAAAGCAGAGAACAGTACAGAAGAATATTTACCCTTATTTCTTTATGCCTCTACTGCTCTGTACATTCCCCATATATACCTCAAGAGTACAACATGAGAGAAAGGAAGAGAAGAGTAGCTACTAGTTCTTGAAATCCGTCACTACACAGTTTCAGGTCCACAGGCACTATAGTCTACAGGCAAGAAACACACAGTTGATGCCACAATGCTGCCAAATCTGACTGCAAACCGTCCTGGCCATTTCTCTAAATTTTACTAAACAACTATAATTCACTTGCCTATCAAATCATGGAACAGATCTGAACTATACAGCACTGTTTACACAGGATACAGACATACTCAGCCCTCTCTCATTCAAGGAAGGACTGACTGGCAACCCAGGAGGTCATTGCCAATTCTCACATTTATGCTTTGGTGAACCCCGAAGCCTGCATGTTACAAATCACAAGAAAGTGATCATAATGTGGGATGCATCCATCTGGTCCCTGTTCAATGGAAGGAGAAAAATGTCCAAGATATCTATCACAATGCTCAAGGAGAAATTAAAAACCCTTCCCGATTTTACATTTTCTAGTGCCTTTGCCTCATGCACATGACCTAGAATCACCGTAATTAAGTATCTAGTCCCATTTAGTTTCCAAATCACTTTCTCCTACAGCTTGGTTACACATTACCAACCAACTCTCCAGGGGAAGAGTAAGCAGTTCTCTGGTTACAACATCATCTAAACATTTTAAGTGACATGCCACTTTAGAGCTCCTTCCAGATTTGGACTTGCATTCAAATCAAATCAACATAGTTTGCAGGACTATAAAGTACCTAAGAATGTCTAGCTGGTTGGATCACTTGACAGGCTAGACAATGTCACCTGTTGTGATGGAGCATCTGTAAGAATATTTTATCGTCACCATTGGAAACGGTGAGTATGGAGTGAGGGTGAGAGGCATGGACATTTACAAATACACAGGGTGGTAGGGGGAATCCTTGCTCTTTGTGTTTTCTCTGTCCCCAGGGGGCAAACCTCCAATAGGACAGGAGACACACTGGGCAGCAATTATTCATTGGTAACAAAACTGGGATTTCATGACTAGAATTGTACAAAGCCAAGGGAATCAAAGGAAAACCCTGTGGAAGTGAAGAAAATATTCCGGACAAACCCCAGTAAAAAGTGAAACTGCAAAGTTTCATGTAGCTGATGGAGCACTGACCTCAGAAACGTGTCTCCTGCCCCTACCTGGTAGGAGATGAGTCCCTCCCACTGATGCTCATGCGTAGCTGTGCTATACATCCACTTCAGCACAGAGTCCTTAATGAAGACAGATACAGCACGTAGGATAAAAGAAGTGAAGAGATTCAGATGAATGTAATTCCTAGTGCAGTGCAGATGCCTGTAACAAGAAAACAAATTCTGATTCAGCGACTGTGTGTAGGCTGCAATACCACCTTGGGTATCCAAGAGGGTGGAACTGACGGACTCTGTTCAAAAATCAGTGGATTCCCACACAGATGAGTCACTGGAAACCCATTACTTGTGAATAGCTACAGAATGTCAAACTCTGTAAGAAATATTGACCTTTAGCCAGAATTTCTACCCAAAAGGTATTTCAGAATTGGAGTGTGTGAAAAACAGGGAGTTATAATGAAACACAATTTACAACCTTAATTACAGTGATCACACCACAGGGATTGGATTTTTGACATAGTGCTGCATCTAAACTATATAAATGACCTTCCAGAAAGGAAAACAAGAGTGCAACAGAGATTTTTTGGAAGGGCTTGTGTGCTGGTGCAAAGCATAGCAGCAGACTATATTAAAGTAATTGCCCCTGTAAAGTGAAAAGAAATCACCACATACGTTAATTATCACTTCAACAAGAGAAGATTAGATTCATCAACAGCCTTTTGAGATGATCACAAATGTCTACCATGAGTCTAAAAAATATGATTTTCACCTTTGTGATGATGATAAAAAACAATGATGAAAGATCATCTTCTTTGTGAATTTCAATGGCCAACTACACAGACAACAAAATTGCCACCTGTAAGATGTGTTTTGGACAAGCAAAGGAAATGATACATATGATTGAAACTTGGCAATGAAGTGTCAATATTTTACCAAACCTCTCCACTAATATTTCCTCCCTTAGCTTATATGAGATGCCATATAAGAAGCAGCACACATGTCGCAGAAGTGAGAGATGGGGAAAGTCTATCAATTTGTTTTTCTATTTGAACAAAGACACATTCTCACCATTAGGATAAAAAATGTAGGCAGTGCCACTTGGAAAATTTGTATTGAGCCACGGTCTGCTGGAAATGATTATTTTTTATGTCTGAAAAATATTGTGAACATATTATAAACAATTGTTGCTCCTATATTTTGAAATCCTACTTTTTCAGTCCTGCAACTTTGGTTTGGAAAATAGCTTGGCCTGAAATTTTCTAGATTTATTCAGAAGGCAAAGAACAACATTTCTGCAAAGTCTGAAGTAAATTCATTAAGCCACTTTCGAGTTACAGGTCATGTTGTAATTTAACCATGTTTAACTTTGTTCTCCCTCTAGCTCAAAACTAGCTTCAAACTTTTGCTACCCCTTCAAAACTTTTCATACACACACACACCCTTCAATTTCAGTGGGAGATATGGGCACTATTCATTTCCAATGCTGGGCACAGAAGATTTCTACCATTAACTTCTGTGGGTGCAGAATTTGATGCTACTTGTTTAATAGCATGTTGCCTGCTCTCTTGGCTGTTTTCACATTAGAATTAACATAAGGGATGTTATATTGTTAACAGAGATCTTCCTTTAGTTCAAGAGGAAAATCTGTATTTTGGAACTGCTAAACCAGGTTTCTACTCCCAGCTCTGTAAGCACACTAGGTAGCTAGAAGCTAAGGCTGTAGTCAGAGACCAAACTACAATGCAGATGTTAATTCTAAGGAAAAATGTAAAAAATACATGCTTCAAAGATTTAACCCTAAAGAACTAGAGTTTGTCCTGAATTATAAGTTAAACTTTTTGTTTTTGTTTTTAATTTTAAAGACTTTAAAATGGCTCTTTTTTGAAGTTTTTGTGAGGCTTCAAATATTGATGCTACTCAACTTTTCTTTTTTATGTTACAGAGCTCAAGTTTTATGAATGATGCAAAAGGCAAGCACATTTGTTATTTAGCACTTTTACTGGTTTTCTTTTTTTCACTAACGTTATTTGTTCTTGGACCGACAGCAGAACACAGTTCAAATCATACCAGCTGAGCACTATGTTTGGAAGTTTTAGACATCCTCCCCAAGAAGATTTTGAACACACATTTTGGTGCAAACTGCTCTAGTTCAATAGCATAATAAATTGCTCCTCAGAACTACTGTTATGGATACTAGGGAAAAGTCATCTCCGGCAGATGTGATTTATTGTTAGCCTGAAAGCAGTGACTCTGAATTCCTAGTGCCTGAACATAAGAATAATAAAAAAACTTCAAAAACAATGCATGGTCCTGTAGCACGTTAGAAACTACCCAAACATGTCGATGGGATCATGAGCTGTCATGGGCACAGCCCACTTCCTCAGATGACAGGAGTGGGTTGTACCCACGAAAGCTCATGATACCATCTACATGTTTGGTTAGACTTTAAGGTGCTGCTAGACTATGCGTTGTTTTTTAAGTTTTTCTAGTAACAGACTAATTCATCTACCCCTCTGAAGCTATGGGAATCATAATATTCCTCCCATGGCATTGACAGAGGGTGGACTTGTTTTTCTGGGTTTCCCTGACATTTCAATTCAGCTGTAGTCATTTTAAATCCCCTTTGGCATGAAAAAGGAAGTGATCAGTCCCATGTTTCGCAGCTGGAAGAAAATAAAATACAATAGACTGGGATCATTTCTCTGCATCTCCTGCACAATCTCATTCTGAATGTCCCTGGACTTGCAACTGCTGTGCTCAGTATCTCCAAAATTCCGACGAACTAGACTAGAGTCAGTGAAATTGCAGCATGCATGCATAATGCATTTATGAAAAGATCTCAATCTAGATCAGCCTCCCATCATTTTTTTTTTGTCAAACCTAAGCAATCTAATGTCTGTTCCAGGGTCTTGTCAACGGATACTCAGTCACTAGAATTTTAATTTCTATGACTTTCCAGAGAATTTGACGGAGTCACACCTAGCAGAAAACTAATACATAGAACTGAATGGAAGATGATAATTCTGTTTCGTGGCAACATTAGGAGTTTTTTGGGGGGGAAATCATTCCATGGTGAAACAAAAATCTTTCAAATTCTTTGACAAGAATAGAATTGGTTTAAAGTGTTGGTTTTCAGATCAAAACCTTCATTTGGGAACACTCGTCTGGCAGGTTTGAGTCCCAGATTGTGAGTGATTTGGGATGAACAACTCTGCTCTGAATTAGGCAAAGCAGGGGCTTGAGCATGGGTTTTCCATACCTGATGCCAAGCCCGTCACAAATTTTCCCTCTAATTTTTTCAATCCATGTGCGATTTTTTTCCATCCATGCACAGAATAATTTTCTGTGTGCACTGAGGCAAGTGCGAATGTGCACCACGAACAGAAATACAAAACCAAGCTATGGGCACTCTGCTCATCAGCCAGGAGGCATCTGAATTTCTCCTGAATGGCCACACAAGTGTTCAGTTTACAGAGAACATTCCTCACCAACCTAGAACATGACAGAATCAGTCTTTCCTCACTTCCCTGCCAGTGAAAATTCTGTCAAAATCAATACATCTCCACAAAGCATTTCAACTGAAAAAACCAGCATTTTTATTACAAAGATTTCAACCAGCACTCTTAGTAGGGCCTAGTCATTTAGAATTTAAATATCTGGGAGAGATATGATGCAAAAGGGAAGCAGGGGAGGGTGAGATGTTGAAAGGAATAAAATAAGAAGGTGGGAGAAGCCGAATGTTTCAAAACCTGATGCTGTTTACACTGGGAGAACAACACGGCTGCTTTTGCTCTGCTTTGAGCTGAATCAGGATTACCTGAAGCCAAGGAGGATGGCAGTTGCAATCACAAGGGCAGAGAATGAAAGAGCATAGCCAACAGTGTAGATGACTGACATGTATAGGAGTTGTTCCTCTGGTGCCTTCTGATAGCATAGAAAGAAAGAAAAGATAGCATTCATTGCACAGATTTCTTTTCTCCCATCTCCACATTACCCTAAATCCCTCCAACCCTACTTTGCTACTATTTTCCACCCCTTTGTTAAGCACTCAGACACACATTACTAATCAGAAGCTTCCACCTTTCAAATTCTCCAAACAAAACTCCCACCCCTGCTTCCTATTCAAATACATGAGTTTTGCAGCAAGCCCAGAAAGTCAATGAAACAGGAAAAAC